CTCAGAAGACGGACTGCATTGTAGAAAGAGGAGCCTTGCCTTTGGACGTTCTTCCCCTTTCGTCATCTAGTCGTTCTGAGCTTCCCTTCCTCCCTGGATGGCTCTTCTGAGTCACTCACCTTGTGTGCATGCACCCAAGGGCTCTTGCACATGTCCTGGTCTCAGTTGTCTCTTCAACTTCCTGAATTCTTTCTGGCTTAGCATGTCCATTCTCCTGGTCTGACTGGTTCTGGCATCTTCCCCCAGGCCCACTCTCTATTCTGAACTGAAGACCCTTGTTTCCAGTCATCTGAGGAAAAGCTACTCAAGTGGTTCTCAAGAGCCTTTCGCTTCCATGTGTGTACACAGAACCAGTGTTTGGCGGGCTTAAAGAGCACCCTGCACTCTGTTTCCCGGCTTGACCTTCAACACATGAACAACTCAGTTGTGAAACACAAATACTCCCCCAAACCCCAGATTCTGATCCATTTAGGATTTGGGCCAATTCTGTTTCTTAAATCTCTTCCCACCCCCACCCCCTCTCTCTTTGCTGCCCCTTCCTCAGAGTGACACCTGGCCTCCTGCCATGGTTCACCTCCACTATTAAGATAACATCCTCTGTGGCCCTCTCTTTTCAGGCTCATGCCTAATGAATAATTAAGTTTTGAAAACTCGATGACACATATTGAGGAAAGCTAGGGAAATAATTGGGGGTAACCAGATGCAGGAAGCCATAGAGTGGTAAACAGAGATAGCTCTCTGGCACCCTGAATCCAACCATTGTCAACCAATGCCAGCCTTTGCCTCATTCCAGCCCTCGGTCCCCGAGAGCACTTCCCAGGAAGAAGGACACACGTTTGATTTTGGCAGTGTATGATGCGGAAGTCTGCTCCAAGAAGAGGAAGAGAAGCAACACAAGAGCTCCACTCCTCCAGAAGCTGGTGGAGCCATGGAGGGGAAGATGCCTGTGTAAGCAAAGAACAGGGGCCTGAGTTAGGCACATCTGGAGAGAAGCGCAGGCCATGCAGAGAGGGTTCCCAGCCCCACTTACTTCATGGATGAGAAAACAGAGCCAGAAGCGAGAAGGGGTCTGTTGGAGGGTAGCGAGTGAGACAGGCCTGGGACAGTCACCTCAGGATCCTCGGTGGCACCCCATACTTGGCCACAGGGCTGCAGCTGGGCCCTTTTGGTCCCTTTCCCACTGTCTCGCTCCTGGGTAACAGGTCACACTTGAGTCATCACAGAGCTTTGTTTGGAATCGTTGCCAGGTGGCTTTCCTATGCTCATATCTGAAGCAACTTCAGACACATTTCAGGGCCTTTGCTTTGTTCCACTGATGACAGGAATAGAGAGCATGAGGTTGTCTGGAGACCTGGGCAGGCAGTAGAGCATCCTGGTGCCTCTGAATAGCACAGGGACATGTACATAAACACGCACGCAGATACACATGCATAGATTAAACACACACACAGACACATGTCCCAAATGACCTTGGGTTAACAAAGAGATTCTTCTCATACTTTCTAGCTCCATACAATTCTGGGATCCTATGATTCATCTAGACAATTTGACAAGCACACAGTCCCCCTTCAAAGCTCCAGTTTCATCATGCTTCTTCATGTCTCATACGTATCTTTAAAATGTGTGTGTGTGTGTGTTGGGCACATGTGTGTCGGCAGGTGTCAAGCACATGTGCAGCCAGAGGACAATTTGGGGGTCTGTTCTCTTCTCCCACTGTGAGTTCTAGGGGCAGAACTTGGGTAAGTACCTTTACCCACTGAGCCAGCACCTCCCTCCTACAGGTGCTTTCTTTTTTCAAGATGAAAAGACCCAGAGATGTGTCACTTCCTCCAGGCAAACACATTCCAGAAACAGTGAAGAGGAGAGGGAAGGGAAAAGGGGATGTTTTGATGCCACGGACAAAACCAAACAAAGAAACAGAACAAAGCAATAACCAAAACAAACAAACGAACAAACAAAACAAACAAACAAAAAACCGTGTCTCTACTTCTCATATGCCACTCAGTTACGGGAAATTCCAGTTCCAAACAAAAGGACAATTCAAAGTTCTTCCCCTCAAATCTAAGATAGTATCTGAGAGTCTACTTTCAGATGATATAGCTGAAGCCTAGAGAGGAACGAACTTGGCAAAATGTCTTAGAGTAAATGTCAACAAAGGGGGAAACTATGTTGCTTTACGTTCTGACATTTCTAGGGCACCTTCTTGTAACTGGTTCAATTTGCTAATCTACCTAACACGTCCTTGGCACCTAGAAGGTGTCTCTGTGTTGCAATGTTTTGTTTTAATGGAGTTTGACCACTCAGGGAGAGTGTTATTTGAACACGTATTGAGAGTATATATAATTATGTTGAGCAATTTTTTCTACAAAACATTTTATAGTGGGATTCATTGTTTATGTTACATTCTAAATCAGGTAGTAAATTTATCTTCACAGTTACATATTCCTGTGTAAGTTAAATGCTTTTTTTTAAAAAATAAAAAGCTGAAATGCATGAAATTACTGATTTGGTCACAAACCCACTTTATATAATTTTCTCAGGAAATAAAACATTTTATACTAAAAAAAAAAAAAAAAAGTTCTTCCCCTGAGGATGTGGCTCGTGGGAACAAAGCAAAGACAAAATGGGTAAGATTCGCCAAGAACTGTCTCAAGAGATTAAGGCTTGCCCTGTGAGCCTGAATGCAAGGTTCAATCTTCAGAACCCATGGAGGGGGTGGGAGTCAGGAATGTGGTACATATTGTAAACCCAGACCTTAAAAGGAAGAGACCGGGGATCCCGGGGCAGCCTGGCCAGTTAGTGTAGCCTACTTGGTGAGTTACACATCAGAGAAAGACTCACTCAAAATAAATGAATAAATAAAGGAGGGTGTCGCCTGAGGAATAACACCCAAGGTTGTCCTCTGACTACCAACATGTGCACACACATAAACACACACACGCACACACACACACACACACACACACACACACGCACACACGCACAGTGTGGGGACTAGATAAGAGAGTGAGAATAAAGGCTGAAGGTTTCAGGGTTTGTCTCACTCAGAGACGACCTATGGTATGCCACTGTGATTTTAGCTATCCAGCCTAGAATTAGGATTCCAAGTAAAAGAATGTGTCTGGAGTGCCACCAAGAAACTTAAAAACTTTTTAAGGCCTTCAGACAGTTTCCATATATTAACTTTCAGTGTTTTGGATAATATTGTCCTTATGCATGGTTTTAATTAGATGTAGTTCACCTTTCTTTTTCTTCCCCCCGTTTCTTTTCCTCAGAGTTCTCACTTCTCAGCATTTGCTTTCATATTTAATTGTGACCTCGCTCTTCCTGAACATCTTACACGTTACCCTTTTGGTTTTAAATTTTACTGGGCAAATGACGATTATGCCTTTTATGGAGTAGAATGGAATGTGAGGAGTGTACATTGTGGGACAATTCAAGATAACACATCCTTGGCTCAGAGATCACTGTTTGTAGTGAGAACATCAGATCTATTCCCTTGGCAACTTGGAAACCTACAGCACGTATTATTAACAGTGATTCGCATGAAGCACAAAGATCTTAAAACTGACTAGATTTTCTTTGCCTGGTTTCTGTGGAAGACATACCTAGGGAAATGGAGTCAGAAGGTAGCAGGGAGAGCACTCGCCATGGGGACCTAAGGTGAAGACCCCAGAACCCATGGGAAGTTGGAACAATGCAAGCAACTGTTAAAGCCAGCCCCACCACAGTGAGACCAGTAAAGAGCAAATACCCTAGAGCCTGATGGGCAAGCTGCCCCACAATACACGGTACAGCAACAAACTGTGAGGAGACTACCTCAAGCACGGTGGGAGAGGAAAAGCAGCCCTGGAGACTGCCTTCTGACCCGTCCCCAGCTACACACACCGTACTGCATTACTCCACATAGAAGATATATCCAGGGCAGGAGTTAGGCATCATGGCTCAGGGCTGTAATAACAGATACTCAGAGGCAGGAGGATTACAAATTCAAGGCCAGCTAGGACAAGGTAGGGAGCTGAAAGGGAAGGAGACAGAGACTCAGGCAGAGTCATTGAAAAGGAGAAAAAGGACATAAAGGGCAAAACCACAGATAATTAGGCCAGAGGGAGACAAGATGCAGCGCCATTGATCTAATGCTGGCCTAGCATGCCTGAAGCCCCCAGCCCCAGCCCAGTCCCACGTAAACGAGGGACGTGAGGCAGGTCTGTAATCCCAGCACTGGGGAGGTGGATGCAGAAGGAACAGAAATCATCTACTTCATTCCAAGTTTGAGACCAGCCTGGGATAGATGAGATCCTATCTCAAAAGAGAGAGGGGTGGAGAGAGGAGTATTTGGAGGAAAAAGGAATGATGGGAGAAAGGAGGCAAAAAAAAGAAAGCTTTGCTAGGCGGTGGTGGCATACGCCTTTAATCTCAGCACTCAGGAGGCAGAGGCAGGCAGATCTCTGTGAGTTCGAGGCCAGCCTGGTCTACAACAGCTAGTTCCAGGACAGGCTTCAAGGCTCCAAAAGCGACAGAAAAAGCCTGTCTCTAAAAACCAAAAAAAAAAAAAAAAAAAGAAAGAAAGAAAGAAAAGGAAAGGAAAGAACGAAAGAAAGATAGGAAGGAAGGAAGGAAGGAAGAAAGAAAGAAAGAAAGAAAGAATTGAAGAAGAGAGGAATCACAGAGAAAAAGGACAAGGATATTCCCAAACACCAATTTACTCCTGGAAAAAGAAAGGTTCTGGAATCACATAACTTTGCTAAGAGATTCTAGGAGACTCCAAGCAAGTGCACCCTCTCCCTAGTAGGCCAGAGAGCCAGAGACCTCAGCTTGCAGAGGTCCAGACCAGAGAGTCAGAGGCCTTTCCTCCACAGTGTTACTGTGGAGACAGGTAGGCCACGGATGGCCTCCGGAAGTGAACATGACTGGCTCATGTCCAGAGTTGCTTCCTTGACGGTTGGGGCACAGAGCCTCAGAGCAGAAGCAGGAGCCACTGACCAGTTCCACCCAGCTTAATGCCTCTGGCCAAACTGCTTCTTAGGATGAGACTCTGGGAACTTCTGCCATTCCTGGTCCTCTTCATCTTCTTGTGGGGCATCCAGGAACCTGAGCTGGCTGAGGGGTTCTTTCTCAGTAAGTACTGGGGTACAGTTCTTAATATGGAGAGAAGTAGCTTGATGGAGTCAAAGAACAAAACACACTGCAGATGAGAGGGTTTCCCCATCCCAGTCCCAGACCCTGGTGGGAGTGAGATGTTTGGGGTCACTGTTTCCCCGTCATCCTGGAGAGGTGCCATGGGTCACACAGGGGTCTCTGTCTGTGACAGCTGACTCCCTATCTTTATAAGGAATTCTTCATGCACTTCAGGACTGGTGTGCATTGAATGGACATTGGGAATTAAGTAGACAAAAGGATCTCCACTTAGGATGAGCCTCTCCCTAGCAGCACCCCAGCAGCTGCCTCGCCTGCCCACTGCAGCTCCCCAAAGCTTTCCTGTATTCACAGGACCTTACCTGTGTGCTGAAGAACAGCCTCCAGGGTCCCTTCAGATGGTGAAGCAGGGAGATTTCATCCTTACCAGCTAAAACACACTGAGCACTTGAAGGTCGTGGGGGAAGTGAGTGATCAGGAGGTCGTGTGACAGGAGCAAATTCCGGGTCCACTCCTTGAGAGCTGTGTGGCCTGCACAAGTCCACAGAGCCTCGCATGCTCTGGACGCCCCTGCTCTCTCCATGGGACACTTTATCAATATTAATCACTGGAAGTCCTTTATCAGTATTCATCACTGTTCTTTTAGCCCAGGCATCTTGACCAAGGCTTTTCAAACTTTGTTCCATTAGCCTTCAGGATGACAATCTAGGCAAACACTGAGCTACGGGGGCCAACGAAGGCCAAAACCAAATGATCAGAACAGTCCCAAAGGAGCAGGTCCCTCTCTGGGGAATCCTGTAGAGGTGGAGAGAGGGCTGGAGAAGGTTCTGGGGAATAGCTGCTGAGTTGCTGCTGGGGGTGATAGGGCCAGTGCTGTGAAAACCTGAACCCCTGAGGGTTGCCTCTCCTAGTGACAGGCGAGGGGCCAACAAGCTTCCTCACTCTGCAGTGACACTCTGGAACTAGGAAGGGAGAACAATATCTCCTTCAACTCCTCAGGGGACTACATCTTCTTCTTTCCTACAGGAATGTGCCCAAGATACAAAGTGAAGTGTACAGATGTAAGTACAGACGAATGTTCACAGCACGGACACTGTCCACCAAGGCAAAAGTGCTGCCAGTTTGTCTGTGAAAAAGTATGTATGGACCCCAGAGACGGTAACTGTCGGTTGCTTGTACCCTTCTATTTTGGCACTGCCATGCCTTCTGGGTTCCACTTCTTCCTTCCTATGCTGGTACTGCCATGCCTTCTGGGTTCCACTCCTGCCTTCCTATGCTGGTACTGCCATGACCTCTGGGTCACCCCTCCTGCCTTCCAATGCTGGTACTGCCGTGTCTGCTCCTAGACCGTTGAGGGTTAGAGTTTGACCACGATTATCTTGACATCTGATTGGTGCAGATTTTGACAGTGATGGACAGAGAGACTGTGCTTTTTCATTTTCCTTCCATTTCAGTTTTTGAAGGAAACAACATCCCTTTTCTTTTTAAAGAAAGATTACTTTTATGTGAGGGAACATTTTGGCTCAATGTATGATGTATGCCCACCAAATGCATACAGTGCCTCTGGAGGAAAGAAGAGGGCATCATAGCCCCTGGAACTGGTGATATAAATAGTTGTGAGCTGCCATGTGGGTAATGGGAACTGAGCACAGGTCTTCTGAAGGGGTAGAAAGTGATCTTAGTGAGATATTTATCTAGACCTGGCCTTTCCATTTTGAACCTCAGTTAACCCTTTGATATGAGGCATATTGTTACTGAGTCATGTGACCCCTTAGCTACTCTCAGGTGCTGTTCTGAGATGCAAGTAGCTACCAAAGTCTCATCAAACAGCAAAAACACGTCTGGCTGTTCATAAATTGAGACAGGTGTCAGGAGTTTCTGGGCTTGTTTGTCCAGGTCTCAGACTAACATAAAACCCAGGACACCTCCCCTCATCGCGTTAGCCTCCTATACTCTTTTCTCTCTGCTCACATCCTGGAGCTCCAGACAAGACCCTCAAAACTACTCGCCCATTATTCTATCAGCAAATATTTACGGGTGCCCGTGACACCCAGGTTGGGCTCCTAAATGAGGCCACCAAAGCTTTTCCTGGGAAAGCCATATAGGACTTGGAATCTGAAGGATGGGTAGTGTGCAGGTAAACAGAGACGCCAGCAAGTGCTCATGGGAAAACTCTGTGCTAGGAGACATGTGATCAGGCGTGGAAACACTGGGAGGTGGAGAAGGTGGAGATGGTTGAGGATGTGCACTCACACATCCGGACGTGATCCTCCTCCCTGTGATCCTAACCCCCGACTGTGGTCTACTCAGGTTCTGGTCCTGAATCAGGGAATTAAGGCTGACCTCAACCTTGACAACCTCCTACCTCAGCCTTTGGGTGTCTGGGGTTCTAAGCGTGCACCACCATATCTGGTGATTCATCTACACTTAACTCCCTCACTGGTGTGTGACATCAGGGAGTGGCTTCATCTCTCCAAGTCTCATGCCCTCTACCTGCACAATGAGAACAGAAAGAGGGCTGCCACACCAGAGGAAATGTCAACATGTGTCAAAGGCTAAGACCCACGGCCAGCACTTTAATAGCTAAACTTGTGTGATTGTAATGGAATTTTCCAGTGGTGAAATCAGTTGTTCATTAAGTGCTTAAGTTTGGGATCTTTCTCTCTTTCCTTCCTTCTTTCCTTCTTTCCTTCCTTCTTTCTCTCTTTCCCTCTTTCCTTCCTTCTTCCCTTCCTTCTATCCTTTCTTCCTTTCTTCTTTCCGTCCTTCTTTCTCTTTCCTTTCTTTCTTCCTTCCTTCCTTTCTTCCTTCTTTCTTTTCTTCTGTCTTTCCTTCTTTCCTTTGTTTTTTTTTTTATTTCTGAGAATATTCCTGAAACATCCATTTCTTGCCAAAGATCTGCTCAGAACGGCTATACAGGGCTAAGGTACAGTATTTGTTCATGAAGAACTCAGTTTTCCTGCAGTCAGAAAATATGGATAAAACCACGATAAATCTTCATCACAGACATAACACAGATGCATTAAAATCAAGGGGCAAAGCATGGACCCAGGAGACATCAGAAAGGCAATGATGCTGGGACTGTTTAGATATTGCAGACATGGTCTTCTGTATAGCTCAGGGCAACCTTGAAATCGCTGCAATCCTCCTGCCTCGGCTTCCCAAGTGCTGGGATGTCAGGCAAATGCCACCACACTTGGCTACTGGAAGGGTTTTGAAGAATGAATAGGAGTGTGCCTTGCTAGCCAGAGCAGCTCGGGCATTGAGCAGGTGTGGAAGGCGCGGAGACTGGGGAGTAGGCTGACTGTCAAGTACAGTTTGAAAGGATGAGCGTTAAGAGCAGCAAAAGAGAGAAGCTGTGGAGAGGGAGGTATGGACTTTGGGGTTGGAAGATAACTGTTCTGAGCCAGTGCATCAGCTCCTCTGACGCCTAGTGGACTGGAGATATTTTAACTTAGATGGTGGCCATTCCTGGCAGAAAGGAAAGAGACAGCCATCCTTGCCGTGTATGAGGCCAAGTCATCAAGCAGTCATCATTCAGATGCTGAGGAGACACAATGGCCACGTCTGCTCCTGGGATGGTCCTGTCCCGACCAGCAAGGTGGTACTTTGTGTTGTCATCCTGCAGCTGAGAAAAAGAAGATAAAGAGGCTGAAGTGACTGGTCAGATTCCCAGGAAACCGGAAGCACAGCTCTGAGCTAGACAAAGAAAGCAGTGGATAGAGGAAGGGGGCGGGGTTGTTCCTGAGGAGACAGGCATCCAAATATCTGTCTTCCATTTTTTCCCCACAGATTTTTGCAGTCTGCCAAAGAATACTGGCCCCTGCATGTTCCGTGTTCCACGCTGGTATTATAATAAAGAAACTGGGCGCTGTACTGAATTCATCTATGGTGGTTGCATGGGGAACCGTAACAACTTCCTAAGTGAAAGTGTCTGCAAATCCATCTGTAAAAAATGACGTAAGTGCTAAATGTCCCCAATTGCATTTCCACAAAAGTGAAACAGCAATCTGAGCATCAGTCCTTTCCAAGGCCTGGGCAGTCATGGAGGTGCAAATGGGAAAGAGAGGATAGGAGGGAGGCAGTGGGCCAAGGGAAGCCTGCAAGTCTGAGGGGAGCAGTGGGAAAAGAAAGGACACAGGAGCAGGGAGCACCTGACCCAACTCAGAGGAGGAGCATGTGAGTTGCCGTGGTCACCACACTGAGTTAACAGGTATAACGTGGTATAAATTAGAAGGCGCGAGCTGAGCCCAGCACATACATCACTTCTGTTTTCGCTGCTTGCCTGGGGATGTGAAAATCTTCCCATCCCTTTCCATTTGCTGAAGGATCTGGTTCCTATGGTGGCTGAAGCCCAGCATCTCCATCCTTACCCTTGTGTCTTACAGATCTGTCTTCCTGGATAGGATAAGGTTGAGCTGCAGAAAGCTCCTGGTCTTGGCAATTTGAGACTTCCTTCTGTGAGTCCAAGGATACTCTGGATTGGCTGACAGCACTCAAGTCTTAGCCACTAAGATTCTGGCTGCTTCCACAACAGAACTGCAGATTTGGCTTATTCTTTTTCCCTCACGCCAGCTTCTCTTTAAACGTAATGCCCTTAAGCCTTGTGACTCCTTTTCAGTGTAAGACCCTGTGACCTCAACCTCCGGGGCTCTCATTTATTCCTATGAAGACTCTAGTTCCTCCTAATAAAAAGATCATGCGAGTTTTGATGTTTCAGAATCTGAATAACTCCTCTGTTGTCTGCAGGTGTTCATATCTGTTCACAGCCCTATGTATGCAGATGTTCACGTCTGTTCACAGCCCTCTGCATGCAGATGTTCACATCTGTTCACAGCCCTCTGCATGCAGATGTTCACGTCTGTCACAGCCCTCTGTATGCAGATGTTCACGTCTGTTCACAGCCCTCTGAATGCAGATGTTCCCGTCTGTTCACAGCCCTCTGCATGCAGATGTTCACGTCTGTCACAGCCCTCTGTATGCAGATGTTCCCGTCTATTCACAGCCCTCTGTATGCAGATGTTCCCGTCTGTTCACAGCCCTCTGTATGCAGATGTACACGTCTGTTCACAGCCCTCTGTATGCAGATGTTCATGTCTGTTCACACCCCTTTCTATGCAGATGTTCACATCTGTTCACAGCCCTCTGTATGCAGATGTTCACATCTGTTCACAGCTCTCTGTGTTCAGATGTCCCTGTCTGTTCAGAGGACTCAATATGTTATCCCCATCTGCTCTTGGTCCTCTGTATAAATTCTCAGATAACAACTGTGTTGTAAGGGGGCTGCTTGTATGTCCTGGCTGCTCAGAACTGAAATAATCACACAGAAACCATATTATTTAAACACTGCTTGGCCCATTAGCTCTAGATTCTTATTGGCTAACTCTTACATATTAATTTAACCCATGTCTATTAATCTGTGTTACACCACATAGCTGTTGCTTACTGGCTAAAGTTCCGACATCAGTCTCTGGCAGGACTCCATGGCTTCTCTCTAACTCTGCTCTTCTTTTTCCCAGCATTCAGTTCTGTCTTCCCTGCTTACCTAAGTTCTGCCCTGCTAAAGGTCCAAAGCAGTTTCTTTATTCATTAATGGTAATCATAGCATACAGAGGAAAATCCCACATCACGACAGATTATGAATCTTCTACTAACAGCAAAAGGAGAAGAAGTGTGAAAATCATGACAATTGTGGATCAGGGGAAATGTATCTATCCTGTAGTGCTACAGAACTGAGAAAGAGAAGAGACAGCACCCCTTACTGGAGGCTCATTTGAAAAATGCTTAGAAATAGAGGAGAAAATATCTCAAGTCAGAACAGAGTTCACCATGAACTTTTTAAAGATTTAGATTGTGTGTGTGTGTGTGTGTGTGTGTGTGTGTGTGTGTGTGTGTGTAGCTGGAGTCCCAGTGATGATGCGCCATAGGAAGTGGGTGCTCGTTATGAAACTTGAGTCCTTCATAAGAGCAGCACATGCTCTCAACACTGAGCCATCTCTGCGGTCCCTTCACTCTGCTCTTACCTGTGAAGAACTCCCAACCAAGCTTCCGTTAGAACTGACTTATGGAGTGTTTACGAGATGGTTCCTTGGGGGTGAAAGTCCTTGCCAGGGATAAAGGTGTTTGTTGTGCAAGCCTGGCAGACAGTGTGAGTTCAATCCCTGTAACACCCACACAGCGCGATGAGAAATCAGCGCCAGAGCATCATCTTCTGATGTCCACTCTCATTTACACCCTGTTACACACTCTCTCACACACACAGTTACATACACGTCATACACATAAGCAATAATAAAAATAGTAGTAGTTAGTTTCATTGAAAAACACCTTTTTCTGGCTGCAGGCACAACTTGCTGGTAGAGTCTAGCATTTTTGAGGGACTGGCTTCTGTCCCCAGCAAAACACACACACACACACACACACACACACACACACGGTGTGTAACATGGGGAGATTTGTTTCCCTTTTAAATAATTGTTGCTTCACTTGGTGGGGGCTGTGCCGTGGCAGACGTGTGGCAACACTCAGGAGTCAGCTTTCGTTTTCCCTTTTGTGTCCCAGAAATTGAACCGGATGTTTTAGGGTTGGCAAGCAGCACTTTTTACCTGCTGAGCTATCTGGCTGACTCTGAGTGTCTTGTTTTCTATTTCAAAGATTTTTTTTGCCATATTCCTAGAAACTTTCAGGCACGTGTTTTTCTGGCTCAATATGTTGAAAACGTTGCCTCCTCCCACATCTCTCCAGAGTCAGGGATGTGAGCTCCAGAGTCAAACCTCTAACCTCATGCCTCAGTTCAAAGGAGCTCGACAGTATGCAATGGGATTAGTCCTTGCAGCTAGTATTAAGTCAGGAGCACTTACTACACTAAGCCTATATCACTAATCCCCAACTAAATATGTCCCTAACTTCACTTCCTTCTGTGTGGATGCTCAAGATGCTGGCGTCTGTTCTAATGCCACCTGACCCAGGAGAAGTGACGTCAGGGTGGAGGAGGACAAGTTGACTGACAGCAGTTAGAACATCTTAGATAGCACCGTCATTTAACCATGGAAGCACAACAGCCAGGGTCGTTTCCATAATCATTCGGTATGCTCAAGGGAGGACCCTGATGCTGTGATGAGCCAGCCTGCGTCCATTACGTTGATGATTAAACTTCTGTTTCTCAGGGCTTAGGCTATGCCCCTCCTGTAACCTTAACTACGAATGGTTCTGTACTGCCTGTTCCAGGAAGCAATAGCCATATCTTTGCTTCATACAGTTGTTTATAACCATCTTGCAATCCCACCTTTCTTTCAAAAGGTTGCTATGACCACCTTGCAATCATGTCTTGGTTCAGGAGGCCATTATGACTGACTTTGTTATGCTTGTGTTCTTCCCCTATAACCACACCTATTTTCCCCACTAAACCCCCATTTGGAAACCCCTTATCCATGAGCTATAAACATCTAATCTCCCCAATGTTCAATGTTGATCTCTTGAACCCCACCTTAGGGGAAGGCAGCCCTATACATAAATTTAAAAAGCTTGCTTTAATTAACTGCTTGCTTTAATTCATTTAGCCATGATGATTTGGGACAGTGGTATTTCTCCTCAAATCTTTGGGATTGACAGCTGGAGCTCCCTTCATGGCAAATCTGCATTTACCATGGGGTTGTAGTAAAGATACAGTTTCACAGTGTCTGCTAGAACGCCCAAATCAAATATTGTGGGTGAGACAGAAGGAAGCAAAGAGGAACTGAAGAGGAACAGAGGTGGAAATCAGGTGAAGGAAGAAATGGTACAAGACAGCATGGCAGTCTTGAAGCAGGGAATCAGCATTGTCCCATGTGCCTCTTACCCATGAGTGGGGTCGAGGCCCCTTCACTGAAGCTAGGTTGCCCTGCTCTGACCAATAAAACAAAGCAAAAATGGTGACATGTGACTTCCCAGGAAGGTAGAGTTCTACTTCCTCTGAGTCCTGGTGGTGCGGGCAGGGGACTGATGAGGAGCAGCTGGGAACAGGTGTCATGGGAGTGCTCTAGACATGGGAGACAGCTGCAGAGAGGCTCATGGTGGGGAGGGGGGGCTCTGATTGGCAGAGCTGGATAAACCACAACTGATGGATCATCTAGTAAGCGGCTCAGTGCCGTGGCTTCTCGGATCATGTGAAAATCTCACGAAGAAAGTGCCACACAGACTCCACCAAATCACTAGAAAACTTAAAAGATACAAGCTGCTACTTCATACAAGGTGGGAGGCACCCAGAAGCTGTCCTCCAGCTTCCAAAAAGCTATGTTTGAGTCTACAACCCCTACACGCAAGCTCATGAGCAAACTTTCAAAGATTTAAAAAAAAATGTATTCTTGTCTAATTGAAATGCTGTACATCTTAAAGACCTTTATACATGTGTGCAATGTATTGCACCTGTGTATCATCAGTAGGTTCTTATCTCGCTATGGTGTGTGAGCAAGGATAATTAGAATAACCTGTGCTTGGTTCTCGTTCTCGCATATATGAGCTGTATCCATTCCATCTTCTCTCCTTCTTTACCCTCCAAGCAGATCTTCCATCTCTGCCCAAATTCTCTGAGTTTTGTCAATGATGTACAAATTCTAATTAGTTCTGCCCTTATGTGCCCCTGTATGGGGTCATCCACTGAGGCATGGGTAAACTACCCAAACCCACTTACCACACTTAGAAAAGTGGCTTTCCCTCCCTCAGGAGCCATCAACTGTCATGAGCTCCTCAGCTGGGGGTGAGACAGCAGGAGACAGTTCCTGCTTCATGTTAGAATGTTTGAGTAGCTTGATCTTGTGATGGTCTTATGTGGGTAACCACAGGTACAGTGTGTCTGTGTGTGTTAACACTCACATAACCTCCCAAAGTTTGCCTTTTACAGCACACCCACAATCTACCCTGCCCCCCTCTACCACACTGCTCCCTGAGGCTTGGATATGGGGTTGGAGGTAGGGCAGGAGCT